AATCGCGCTCTCACCTGCATTTCGCGCACTCGACACGCACGATCTCCGCAGAGGGTTGCACTTTCGGTTGACGCTGTTCGTCCCACCCTCCGCCTTTAAGAGAGAATTTATAAAGTGGGGAAATGTTTTTTCATTAGGACTTCTCCCGTGCTAGTTCACTTGCCTACTCATTGCATGCTTGCATACTCATTGCATGCATACTCATCACTTGCATACTTGCACTTGCATACTTCCACTTGCATACTTTGACAGCTTTCGCTCTTCCACTTACACAGGGCTACGTATAGCGCTCATGTTATTTATCCTGCAAGTGTGGTGAAAGTGTCAATGTCTAGGTGTGTCTAAGTGTAAGTGTCGAAGTGTCAGTGTTCAAAGGATTTTCCGGAAGAACCCTTCGCAATGCTTTCGGGAAAAATAGAACCTATTGGAACCCTGCCGGCTTGTCATTTATAGACACTTTAGACATTGACCTTTTTGAACCCTGCCAGCATTGAAGAGCTGCACTACCTTCCTCTCATTCAGCAGTTGAAATGATATTCCACCTTTCCCTTTCCTCCTCCCTGAACGGCACCGGCTCGGTCACCGAGCCGGAGGGAGAAAGGCACGGCCAGAACAGGAGCTTCTCAAGAATCCCAGCTGCTCGGGCGCACACGGAACTCTGTGAACGGGACTGGACGACGGCTGCGGAAAGGAGACATCACCCAATTCCAATGAAGAAATCAATCCCTTGGACAAGGAGGTTACTGTGATAAGCTTCAGAGCCTGTGAATCTTCAACATGAACAGAGGCTCCAGTCATAGTGTGACAGCCTGTGACAGCAGTGCCCAGATGGTGGAGATGTTTTCTGGTGTTTGCTCCCGAGCTCGACCGGGTCCAAGGCAAGTACTGCAAGCGCCTGGACCTTGGATTCAGCGATGTGATCCCCACCATTGTCCTGCAAGCCTCTGAGATCCACGATATAGAGGCCGGCAGGGTAAAGCTCAGTGGAGCATGACCATGAAATACGCGAGGATCACCAGGATGGATTTGATAGAAGAATTCCGAGAAGGAAACCCAGGGTAGATTCGGGAATGAACAGCATTTCTTTAAAACACAGAAGACAAAGGAAAACACACTCACACACAGACTGGTCCACGGAGGTAGATCAAGAGGATTTCATTTGCCCTTTTTGGGGTGGAGACTTGCAGCTCCCACGACCCTCGCAGCTGCCCGAGGATCTGCGGACGACCTCAAACGCCGTGGCCAGCGATGGCTGCGGACGGATTGGCTGGAAGTTGGCGGAACGAGTGGCGAAGCTGGTGGGTTTGGACTACGTTCCCTCTCTATTCCAAGCGCGCTTGGGGTGCTGCAAGGCTAGACCGGTGATTCTTCCGGCCGAAGAGAAAGGGGGGGTTCAGGGTGGTTTCGGCTCCTTTCTCCAGGCTGGTGGGGTTTCAGAGCTCAGGGTGTGAACAATGAAAGGGGGGTATATATACTGATATATACCTGTATATATATATATATACATATTTGTATATTTGCACCCTCCTCGCCAGGTGCTTCCTGGTGACAAGTGCCCAGGTTCACCACCTGTGGTTCGGATCTGCAACACCCGAACCTTGGTATAGACCCCCAAACAGATAGAACCGTAGATCCCGATGTGCCATGTCGGTCGCCGACCTGGCCGAAGCGCCTTTCAAAGGCTTTTTGCGTTTTCGAAGCCTGGAAGATGTGGTCCCTCCGCTGGAAAGGTCCCAGCTCCAGAGCCTTTGGTTTTTGAGAACCTGCAGCATGGATGGCAGGCAACTTCCAGGTCAAAGTCAAACCTGTCAAGGCCAGGGCCAGGGTCTTCTTCCACTCAGTGGGGCAGTTGGGCAAGAAAACACCACCGCCCCGCCCCCGCTTCGTCAACCTGCAGTTCGGCTTCCTGCCGCCAGGGCTGCTGGCTCGTGGACTTTCGCAAGGAGTTCTGGTATAGAGTGTACAACACACGATCGATGCACCTTTTTTGCAAGAACTTTGTTGGTTCGTTGCTGTTCTTTTTGCAGCTTGGGAGGTGGCTTGGAGGTGGTCTTTCTTTCTGCTTTTCTTGCTGGGACAGCTCTAAATGGAGTGAACCACGAGAGAAGAGACGTGAAAGCAATCACTCTTAGTCTTGTGACTTCATCCTCCATTGACAAGTGAAGTGCCACCTCTGTCAGCATTTGTGCATGCTACCCTTTCTGATCTGTGTGTGCGGAGGGAATTTTTCAAACGAATCGATCCTCTGTTTCAACGGGAGTAGACTGGTGCGGATGTGGGGAATGAGTAGAATGAACTCTCTTCCAGCAGTGCGGGATGTTCTGGCATCCCTATTCTTCAAGGTCGGCGCTTCTTGTGAACTGGTCTGCGGATCCGTTTACAGTGCTTTCAGAGTGGCACAAACCCCTACATGTCCTTTAGATGGGGGTTCATATAAACCTCCTCTTGGGGATTGTGCCATCTACTGAACCCACTGTATGTAATTTCCTTCACCACCTGCAACTGTGGCACTTGTCACCCGCCGACGATTCCGCCGCTCTGTGCGTGTTTTTGTCCAGCCAACCAGAGGGTGCCTCTCTCCATTTTCTGGAACAGGACGAAGTTGTTCCAAAAGAAGGTAGGGAACTTTTCCAGATGGTTTTAGAGAGAACATGGGTAAGAGGACGAGATATTTTTTTTTGAAACTTGCGGTTTTTGCTTTCTCTCTTCTCGATCGCGTTTTACTCAGGTATAAGTGGAAGATTGACTGGGCCTCCTCAGACGAGCTGCTCAGAACCTTTGAGGCGGATGGAGGATTCCATGATTCTTTATTAGGCCGAATCCGGAACAACTCATCGTTTTACTACGGACTTTGCACTAGAAAAGGCCTCTCCAGTTAGTTGAAGGAGTCCAGCCCGGAACTGCCGAAACCTCGTTCCCCAGCCGCCAGGTGAAGGATTACTCCAGGAAGACGGCCAGCAAGGGCTTGTTGAACACACAGCTCATCGCCGTTCTGGAAGCTGGCGGCGTTCCGCTGTGACTTGGAACGTTCGTGGGATGGCGGAGGAGAACAAGTTTCAGGATGGATGGATGGAGAGTTGATTCCATGGACACATGGGTGGGGATTATGTTGGGATGCTCCCAATGACACGACTGTACCCAGTGATTCCAGTTTCCCAGCGGTTGCGTTACATGTTTGCCAAGGCAGATCTTTCAAGAGTTGCAGAAGGCGGAGCTCTGCAACTTCGAGGCATCGAAGATGGACTGTTCGTCAGATCTTTGGGCTGGGCTTTTGGGTTGTAGGGAAACTCCCAGTGTCCTGTAGCTAACATGACCTGTTGTTTCGTCTCCAGCGATGTCTGGTGAGGTTTGGTGCTCTCAAAAGAATCCGAAAAAATCATGAAATCACATGGTGTTCATCGATAAAGACCGTTATTTCCGCTCACATACGCGTGTCTTGATCCATCTCCGATGAAAGATCATGAATCATCATCCTTTTCTGCTCCCCACGAGCCATGGATCCAATTTCCTCAATTTTTCCATCCGCTTCGGCAAGACGTCTTCTCCCGGTCCCGCTTGCCGCCCCTTTTCCCACGCTTCTTCTTTTGCCGCCCATTCTATCCTTTTCGGGTACAGCAAGTCTCAAGACACTCTCTTGATCTGTGGAGGAGGGCCATGTTTCTGAATCCTTCCAGTTTGGGCCAGTCGCCCAACACTCTGATTGCACCAGCCGGCGACTTTGACCGCAGGAGGAGAAATTTGGCACCCCCGGCATGCCACAAGCAGATCCCAAGTCTGAAGGCGGGAGTGAAATGGCCGCTGTGCAGGGCTTCTCTGTGATTTTTACCCCGGTTTCTTCTCCAGCCGCGAGCATCCTCTGACTGCGCCGATTTCGCCAAGAATGAGGGTGGCTGATCCTAAGGGTCCTAAGGTATCTCTAGTGAGGGACCCGTCACCCTCAAGTGTTCGACCGCCCGCCCGCCCGCGCCCGACGAGGCATCGCCCAGTTGGCCGTGCGGATGTTCGACGCCGGCCTGGACCCGCGTCAGGCGCGGCCGGTCGACGAGACGGAGGACTCCCAAGGGACGCAGGACGCCAGGTCGACCTGTGCTGTGCCGACGCGAGAAGCAAGACATCAGAGGTGTTGTTGTTCCCAAACGGAAATGAAATAGGATAGCCGGGCCTAGCTTGCAAGCAAGTACAACCACGTTCTGCTAGGCTTGATTGAGTTAAGGACAGTTCAGCCGATGGTTTGCACAAAGGACAGTTCTGTTTCCAGAGTCAGAGGACTCCAGAGTTGGAACGGATTGCGGAGTGTTCGGCCAGAGAACCCTTTTGAAGGAGAAATCAGGACCCACACTGATGAACCCACTGTACCCGCGCGGGACCCAAGCCTCTGCGCACACCATCAGAGGCCTGCATCTCTTGGGGTGCTGGTTTGGTGCATATACTCCGTAGTCTCAGACGGTCTCAGCCATTCTGGGTCGGATCGTTGAACATCGCCCTAGAAGTCGTGGCCCACCATGGTTTTAATGGCCTTTACGGAAGAACCATTGTTTCACTCAGGGTTTTAATCACTACAAAACCAGAATCAACTTGATCAACCATCAAGTATAGTCAACAATTCGAGAAACTCTTTTGGGCCGCGGGACGATGTCAAGTTGGGAGGGCTTTTGAAATCACCCGCCTTCCTCTCCGTTTTCCGAGCCTCGCCTCCGGCCATCGCGAACGGAGAGGAGCCCGCCGGTTGGGATTCGCTGGTGCAGTACCACCTGGGCACGTTCCGACGCTTGAGGCGAGGAGAGGGCGTGGATGGCCTGGGGCCTGGGAGGACAGTAGGATGGTGTCTTTTTCAGAAAGCCGGGAGATTGGCCGAGTTCATCTTGTTGGGTGATGTGGGGTGTATTCTCATCTGTTCTCAACCTTTTTACATCATGACTTGTTTGGCGTTCTGTCGAGAAGTCAGCATGTAAATGAAGGCTGCCCTTCCAGGCGAAAGGATCTAATTCCTTTGCACTGGTGACATCAGTGACATCCACAAGGCCAAGCTTAAGAAACAGAAGAAGCTAAGCGAGCAAGGAAAACAAGACTCAAACCTGGCTGACATCGCCACCTCTTCTGGCCTTTTGAGTCACAGCACTTTTGAAAACCAACCATCGAAGCTTCGCCAGCGACCTCCAAGAACGCGGAAGACCTGCAGGCAGGAGGCGCATTACGGCTGCAGCGACAGCTGGCGCGCCAAGCTGGCGCCGGACTTCACACGGAAACTTTTAGAGTTCGAGGCCATCTTCAAGCTCCCAGGCCGCCGGGCGCCTCACGGTCTGAGGGTTCGTTCTGGAGCAAAGGATCCAGGAAGAGAAGACCCTGCCTCAGTGGTTGGACTGAGCGCCCCTCTCCCTCCGTCCCTCCCTCCCTCCCTCCTTGCAGACGCATTGGGCCCCAAAAGAGGCGGCACCACGAAATGGTTTGCTCCACACCCTTTACCGGAGCTCCTTCTTTGTTGCTCATTTCTCTTCACCTCAAGTTCGTCCGAACAAACGCGCGAAGGCAGCGCCCCACGCGCCCCCGACCGCTTCGGTCAGGCGGCGCCTACTTCGAAGGTGCGGCGCTCCTGAGCCGCTCGCCCTGCACGGCGCCCTGGGATGTGCAGCGCTTCCGATTTCTGGGGCAGGAGCCCACTGGTTCAGCGCGGGAGAGAAGGGTCGAATGGCTTGGGAGAGATGGGTCGGAGTGGAGTTCGCTCCGAAATCGGCTTGGTTTGGGCAAATTCTGTATTCTTGGTTTGGGCACAAGTCCTTTTTTGTTCTGCAAACTATACATATTACATTACATATTCCTTTGTCTACTATTTGGGCCATTGGCAGACGTATCCCAAAACCAAATCAAAGAAGACCCAACCGGAAGGATGGATCCGGCTGCCCCAAGTTCCGCAGCCTGCGGTTGGATCGGCTGCAGGAGGAGATCCTGGAGCGCTTCGGCACGCAGGGATATCCCTTCTTGCATGATGATGTGATCATCCTCAGTAGCCATGAGGATGGAATCACGAGAGTGGACACGGGGCGATTCGGGAAGTGGACACGGAGCGATGGAGGGAAGTTGGAGGGATTTAGGAGTTCGGGTGGGGATCATAGGTGGAGGCTTGGGCTTTGAGGACACGGGAGGAATACAAAGCCTGGGTGGGAGTTCCCTGCGGCACGAAAACAGGGAAGATTCGGAGCCAGCGACTGAAGAGGCTTAGTGGCTCTGCGTGTTTGTTCAGAGGTTTGGGTGGTGCCACGGGACGAAGCCTTCGCAAGCCTTCGGCGACTTCGCCAATTCAGAAGCCGCACACGAAGCAGTGCTGTGCTGGGTGTTCCCCACATTCTGCACGCACCTCTAGTGCCCCCTCCAGGAGTGCCGCTGTCCTCCAGCGGACTACCTGGCCGGTGGCGACTTCGATGGCGACGACGCTCTGCTGCTGGGACATGCCAAGTTGGTGGCGGCCTTTCAGCCGAGCAGAAAGGACGGGGTTGGTTTTGAGTGCGTGAACCCACAGCGGAAATGGTCGGATTTGAGGCGATGAGTTGGTCTCCCATCGGTCTCAAGCGCTTAAACCCGTGTGTCGGGGTGCCGGCAAGGCTGGGAAGGCACTCTGTTTAGGACGCCCACCTCCCGCTGTTCAGGATGACGTCGCCTGCCAGCTCGCGGCAGGGTTCGGAAAGAAGGACCGGTGGCGGGTTTTGTCCGTGTCGAAGGCCGCGAGAAGTCACCAAGTGTGCCTTGCAGTTTGAAGATGGCGGGCCATAGTCGTGGAGTCTACATAGAAAAGGGTGAGCAAAAAGTACTAGAGGGTATAAATACAGTGGTTTGATGTGGTTTGTCTGCTGCCTGCTTCCATTTTGGGTGGTGCAAGGTTTCTGGATCTCATGTGCAAGTCCATGTTAGTCCAGCGATCTATGGATTGAATAACTGAGGTTAGCAAGTCATTTGCAGGTGGTTCCTCTCACCGGTCGACCGTGACCGTCGACCGGTGGCGGACCGGTGGCGGACCCCAAACACACGGTTCGCTTGGAGGCCAACGTGCCGGCCGAGCATCTGGGCACCGTGCACTTGGAGGAGTCCTTTGATTTACTTTGTGAAGTCGAGAAGAACGCCATTTGCAATGGCTTTCTGGTGCCTTGGAAGGTGCAATCCATGGCTTTCTGGGGAGCGGAACCGACCGTTTGGGCAGCATGGCATGAGAGCATCACTCCTCCTTTTTTCCACTCGAGGGGGCCAAAACAAGGGTTTCTCCTCTCCATTGGAGGGTCATGGTCGCCTGATTCCGCTTTCCTGTCGAAGGCATCCGCCGCGTGTGCAACCTGAGGTGGGGCAACTGGGGAATCTCTGGTCCTACTTGGCGGACCAAAAAGGTGCGAAGGAGGCGACGCCGATGTCTCAGACAGACCGAAAGAGGCGACGCAGTAGGAATACACCTGAGGCAGTTGAGAAGCAGTTGTTCTTCCTGAAGCAGTCCCGGGGTTTCTTCGTATACCGCAGCATTCAAGGTAATCTTGTGCTGCGCTGTTCCGACCGGGTGCGTGTTGAACCCGGAGGAGAAGACCATCCAGGTGGGTTTGCTCTTTCAACTGGCTTTGGATGGGAAGCTCCCAGAAGATCTGGACTTCAAGAAGATTAAGGATGCCTTGCAGATCCAGGTCGGGTCCCTGTTTCACATGGGTGTTTCGCCGGCGGGAGGCCAGCGTCGCTTAAGCCCAGAAGCCCAGGGGAAGGAGCTCCCCTGTGGAGGGAACTTTTGTAGGAGGTGGATCCGGGAAGGGACAGCAAGGATACTACTGTATATATATATATACACATTATGTACAGTATATGTCTGTCTATAATTATGTGTATGTATGTGTATATATATATATACTGCATGTATATATCAGGTTTAGTTTGGCAGGTTGGCACAGACGACGGACAGCACTCTCTGTTTTGTTTTTTGTTTGCGTCGGACAGCAACCATCTCACCAGCCTCCAGAGAGTTTTTCGATGACCATCTTTTTCCTCGAAACCCATTGTGGAAACACTGAAGACTCAGAGAGACAGGTAACTAGACCACGTGGTATACACAAGATGCTGAGGTCTTTGGCCAACGTCTTACGATCACTTCGCGACCGATCCACACGGCCTCGCGGCCTCGCGCGCGCATACGCTTGGGCGCAGGAGCCGGGCATTCCCCATTGGCATCCCAAAGCGCATAGTGCCCGGCACACACGGCACTCGGAGAGCATTCTGGGAGAGCTCTACGATGGGCTGGAGGAAGAGGAACAGAAGTTGAGGCAGGAAAACCTGGAGGGCCTCTTGCCTTTGTCTATGAATACCAACAAGCATCAACAAACCACAGTCCATTGTATCCCACCCACCAGCGCCACACCGTTCTGCCCGGACTCCGCGACCCGCGACCGGGGCAGGTGGCGGAACCAGTACGCAGGCGGGTTAGCCGAGCGAAGGGGGCGTGGCAAGCACCCCGAGAACGAGAGCACTCCCACTCACCTGGCAGGAGGGTTTGGTGCAGTTTCTCCTTTCTTCAAGGAGGCTGCCCTTTTTCTAGGTGGATGTTGGTGATGGACTGCCCGAAGCCTCAAGCTGCGAGAATGGGCGCTCGGTGCCTCAAGCACCGGCCCTGGGGCGTCAAAAGGGGCGTCCTCGGTGTGCTCCACTCCAATCTCAGAAATGGGATGACATGGGCCCCTACCCCCAAAACAGAGTAAGACTCAAGCTCTCCCCAACACATGCGCACTGGGAACCGACCAGGGGAACACAGGTAAGAGAGCCCTGCCCACATACTGAGCTCAGCATGTTTTTGGAGCTCGGCAGCTCATGCTCCTTGACCCATCCTGAATTTGCGCGATCGACACTCCGACAGACATGGACTGTGGAGTTCACCCCCTGTTCGTTCGGTCTTCCATTCCACGCCAGTCCCATTCCATCCACTGGACTGGCATGTGATTCAATACCGCCGGAAACACCGCGCAGGTCCCTTTCGTTTCTCTCATTTTCGCCACTGGAAGGGGGCCCCTCTTCAGTCCAGTCTGCCACGCCTCGGTCGCCCTCGGTCGCCCCGCGCGGGCGGAGGGAGGGGCAACTGCTCCGTGCGGGTCGCCAGGCGAATTCTGCAAGAACATCCATCACATCTGTGACGTCACCGCAGACTTTGACAAAGTCCCCGGCTTTCTGGACTTGGTGCAAAAGCACTTGGAGAAGGCCAGGAAGGATTTCAGCAGCTACGTGAACTACTTGAGCCTTGGTGCAGCGTTTCCAACGCTCAACACCATCATATTTTTGAAGAAAACAGCAAAACGGAGTTGCCGCCACCCACCCAAGCAGTCGTCTTGCTGTGCTGGTGACTTGGACTCTTTGATTCGTTTCTTTTTTCAAGACGCGTCACACAAAGACAGTGCCACCTGTCGAAGCACCGGAAGCCCAGGAAGGGCGAACCACCGGATCGATCGGAATACCTGGAGACCTGGAGACCTGGACCTGGACAGGCCTGGACACCAGGGTCGTCAGGTGCATACAGACGTGCCACCTTTATCCAAAAGCCTCCATTTTCGGAGACTTCGAAAACATCAACAAACACGTCAAGAACACATCAAGAGTCGGGTGCCTGGACATGAAGAAACACAGCAACGGAACCGCCCTGGCTGGAGGCTGGTCATGGGTGTATTATACCATGCCATCGCATCCACCTGGCACGTATTTCTCTCCAACAGACCCAGGAAGGGCCGGCGCGACCCTGCTGCTTGCCGGCAAAAAGCCCGTGCCTACATGGAGATGACCTACCCAGCACAGGTGTGGATGGGCTGGGATCGTGAAAAACAGTGAAACAAGGTTAAGCTTTAAAACAAGATGGAACCCACGAACCCGAATGCAAACACGTTCGAAAATCTAATATGTCCAAATGACACTCTTGTAGGACACTCTTGCGGGACACTCTGTAGGACACTCTTGTAGCACACTCTTGTGGGTCACTCTTGTAGGAAACTCTTGTGGGACACTCTTGTAGAACACTTGTGTGGGTCACTTGCAGGACACTCTTGTGGGACACTCTTGTGGGTCACTTGCAGGACACTCTTGTGGGACACTCTTACACGACACTCTTCTGGGACACTCTTTTAGGGCGACACTCTTGTGGGTCACTCTTGTAGGACACTCTTGTGGGACACTCTTTATTATAGGACACTCTTGTGGGACACTCTTGTAGGACTCTTGTGGGACACTCTTGTGGGACACTCTTGTGGGACACTCTTGTAGGACACTCTTTTAGGACACTCTTGTGGGATACTCGTGTAGGACACTCTCAAGGGACACTCTTGTGAGACACTTAGTGGGACACTGTTGTGGGACAGTCTTGTAGGACACTCTTGTGGGACACTCTTGTAGGACACTCTTGTGGGACACTCTTCTGGGACACTCTTGTAGGACACTCTTGTGGGTTACTCTTGTGGGGCACTCTTGTAGGACACTCTTGTGGGACACTCTCTGGGACACTCTTGTAGGACACTCTTGTAGGACACTCTTGTGGGTCACTCTTGTAGGAAACTCCTGTGGGAGACTCTTGTAGGAGACTCTTGTGGGACACTCTTGTGGGACACTCTTATAGGACACTCTTGTGGAACACTCTTGTGGGACCCTCTTGTAGGACACTCTTGTGGGACACTCTTGTAGGACACTCTTGTGGGACACTCTTGTGCGACACTCTTGCGGGACACTCTTGTGGGACACTCCGGCAGTACGCCACATACCCGACTAACGTCCTCACCCAAGAACACTCTTGTAGGACACTCTTGTGGGACACTCTTGTGGGACACTCTTATAGGACACTCTTGTGAGACACTCTTCTGGGACACTCTTGTAGGACACTCTTGTAGGACACTCTTGCGGGTCACTCTTGTGGGGCACTCTTGTAGGACACTCTTGTGGGACACTCTTCTAGGACACTCTTGTGGGACACTCTTGTGGGACACTCTTGTAGGACACTCTTGTGGGATACTCTTGTCGGACACTCTT